ATGGTTTTGGAGTACTCGCGTGTATATTTATTCTTTTCCACAAAGTCTCTGAAAATTCAAGGAAAACAAATCAACGCGTGGGTATACTTTTTGCCTCGCATTCACTTTTTAAGCTAATTTATTTTTTTGCACTTTTATCAACCGGCCCTCAAACCGACCGGCCCTTCGGGCGATCGCCCGAATAGCCCGACCAGCCAGTCCGCCCCTGCTAACAGGCATTGCCTAGGATCCTCCTTTAGTCAAAATTGATAGTGTAAATATTTTAGATGCATTTTCTGCCCAATCCCTATAATGTCATATTTCCAAACTTTTTCTTGAATTCGGTCAAATTTCCTAACCATGGTGATGACCTCTAGTAAACCCCGGAGCAATCTAAACACGCCAGCCCTGCCTATTCTACTGATGTTTCCATCTTGACTGCTGCTCAACCAATCAATTAACCTGGCTGCTCAACTAATGATCGGAAAAACTATCAACCCCCTCAATGTGCTTTGACTGGAAAATTACATATCAAGCTTTACTTGAATAACTGAGACATTCCATAAGGCCCACGAATTGCTCTGTTGGATGATACTATTTCTTTGCAGACTTTTATGTTTTAGGGGTTTAGCCATCCACTAATCAAAAGTTTAGTGGTAGAAACACTATAGCGACGCCTAATGCAGCCAGATTTTACCCTAAAGATTCATAAACTATAGAGAAAATAAATTCTCCATCACAACCTGCCGTTAAATCTTCTTTACTACATTCTTCTCCCATTTTAAAGTCATTTAGCTAGAAAACGATAACTTTTCCCCAACAATGTCATGATTTTCTCTTTCCTCTTAGCCATACCCAAATAACGGATTGTAGAGCCCCAATATTAATCTTTTACGCCAATGCCTACATCCCTGGTTTTTTTCTTTCTTTATTTATTTAGAGTTGGTACAATCTTTAGCTATACTCAAGCTAATTAAAACCAATTAATTTAAATTACCAACGCTAGATATAATGTAAATTAAGTATGTTGTACAGATTTTGCATAGGTATTCCTTGCGAAGATCACAAATACAATTGAAAATTTTGAGGTTTTACTTGAATATCTGTAAAGCTGTTGAGTATTTTATTTCGTTTGGAACTGAGTCCCATATTTGGCTACATTTGTATCTAGCGGCTCCACTGTGATGAATCTGGCGTTTCTTAAGTTATGTGGTGTAAATTAAGGAAAACTAAAAGCAATATTCCAATAGCCTAGGATTCCCTTAAAACTTAATCTGAATTTCGGGGCCCCTTTCTCGACGAATTTGCCCGGGCCCTAAATTTGGAGCCAGTCCGCCCCTGTTTCTAACTCGCTGCGGGCTAACAGAGTCTGCGTGCAGGCTAACAAACCCCCAGATAGTCAGTGTATTAAGTGAACCAGTCGGTCTTCAGGGCTATGTTTCTTATCGTCTGTGTTTTTAACAAAAAGCGCATATCCCGGAATCGTCCAATGTTTTGTGGGACTTGTTTCACTTTGCACAAATGAAAGCTTCCGCTTTTATTTTGGATCCTCGACTGGATTTTTCAGAAATGAATAAATCCAGCAAAATGTTTTGTGGTTTCATCTATCTGTCTAGCCAATTAATTCCAGTGGTTTTGGGCCATATTGAGGCTATTCTGAAGTTATTTTGTACCCAGTCTTAAATGGTTCAATTTCCCTAGGGCAGGCACCTCCAGCCACATTAGACTGTCCAAGGACGCCTGCGCCATGGGGAAAGCAGGGGCAGTGACCTCCATGTCCTTACGAAATTGAGTACTTCTCTTTGTTTCACTTTTTGTCCTTTTTCTAGGCGCTTTGCCCCCGTTGCTCCTTCGAGGACAGGCTTCCCTGAAACTGTGTCGACATAAACTTTGACAATTTCAATCTTCATTGAAAATGGGAATTTATGCAAGAAATTGTTGCGCAGAAATTAGAACTGTTTTTGAATTCTTACTTTCTGCTTTACACGCTTTTTTTTTATAAGGAACCTAGCTCGGGCCTAGTTCTTTAAATTCCTTATTTTGAGACCTGTTTTGACCACTTTGTAGTTCTAAAAGTTCCTTAATAGTTCCTTAATTTTAAGTTGGCATTTAGTGGACAATAATTAGTACAGACGCAAGAAAAACAATCAAATTCAGCGTTTTGCTATAAACTTAAGAAAAGATAACAAGTTAAAACACAAAGAAGCTTCATATAATATAAAATTAATAATAATAGTCATTAAAGAAGTTGCATATCCACTCCATTGATGTCGTCTGACACAATGTAGTCTTCAGTACCGTCTTCGAAAAGAACTCTAAACTCTCCCAGCTTGGTGTTGAACCAATGTCCAGTGTGCCATTCGTCGTAGAATGCGCGTATTTTTTTATTAATCAACTCATGTTCGTAGACACGATCTTTTACATGGTCTACTCTTTCATGCTCAAGCTCGTCAGGCTCAAGTTCTTCATCCCCTTCATCTTCTTCATCACTTACATCTTCCTCACAGGCTGCTGAGGCCTCTGGTATTTGTACAGACAGTGGATTTTCGGGGCCAGTCACAGGCAATGGTGGTGGTATTGAGTACCCAATCAGACCTTCAGGCTGAATTTTCTTGTCCTCCGACCCATCAGCCGTTATTAAGCAGCCTGTCTTTTCAAAGCATCTGTACCGTGATGAGGCATAGCTCTCACTGGAAAGCCTATTGTATGCCTCACCAACCCAGTGTGTAATTAGAATTCTTCGCTTCTTGACATCCAGTTTTTCAACACTGTTCCCAAGCCAAAGATCTATATTTTCGTCACTTTGCAGCCACTCATCTTGGAGGGTTCGAACCAAAGACTTCAGCATGTTTCCAAAGCCACAATCTACAGGTTGCCAGATGTCTGTCGCACCGGCCAAACCGAACCAAACAACACCATTTAATTTTCTGACCTCACTCAGAAACAGATCATTAGTTTGCGCACTTAAGTTGTCGCAGAAAAGAACGAATTCTTCATTTTCACCTGTTTCGGAAGAATTTTGGACAGCTGGTTTCAGAGTTCTCTTCACCCAGTCGATGCTGAAATTGATGTCTGCCCAGGCGTTTGTCTGCCAGTAAACATCCACGTCTTTGTGGTATGCCTGTATTTCATCCTGGCTGATTCTTTTCCCTGTTCCACGGAAAATAATTGCAATTTTGACTGGCGGTCCTTCGGCTGCAAAGCAGATTTGTAACGTGCACTGCCGCTTATCAAGTCCCGGTCCCGGTGTGCTGAAAAAGAATTAAAGATAGCAATTTTAGAAGGAGTGGACAAATGAGCAGCCCCCCAATTTTTATAATATTTCCAAATTAATTTTTTAAAAGGCCCAGTCTGGAAAGAGTTTAAACAAAAAGCAGAAAGCGGTTTACCTGACCCAGGTTCGATGGTTTCTTTGTTCTCCGCGCGGAAAATGTTTTTCGTATGTTGTTTTACAATCGACCGCAAACGGCATAGGAACTTGGTCAACGTTGAAGCGTTTAGATGGTCGGAATTTCCCCCATTTGCTGTCATAGGAAGGCTTTGCGTTTCCTGTCTTGATCAAGCCTTCGCGCAAAGTTGTGTGCCAACCAATCATGCCTGGCAAGAAGCTCGTTTTCTCAGCCCTTTTCTTACGCTGAATTCTCCTCAACTTGATTTTGTACTTCCTGATAAAGTTGAAGACTGCAGATTTCGGGATAGCTTTAATATCTGATTGGGCACTTTGGTCGAATTCGGGGTTAATCTTCCTAGCATTTGCGTACAGCCATGCAAAAGATATTCGCATCCCCTTTGATCTTGCTTGTAGGAACTTTTCGTGAAGCATCACGAAGACTTGCTTATGCCTTGTGCTGGGTCTGATCTTTTTCATCATTTTCCTGTGGCTATCGGCGGCTGCATCAGTAATTTTCTTCTCATTTTTAACCCAGGTCGATACCATCGATTTAGAGATGTTGTATTTGAATGCAACGTCATTCTTTTGGTTTTTCTTTGCTTCCTCGATAACTTTTAGCTTAAATTCGGTGTCATAAGATAGTCTGTTCTTCTTCTCTCGATGGTGCTGACTGCTTTCTCCTGCTTCTGACGCTCTAGCACTTTTCTCTATCTCTTGACATTCCTCTACAGTTTCTTCGATGTTCTCATCCACATCAATAGCAGTTGGTTCTTTTTGTGGCTCAACAGCCTCGGCGCTACTTTCCAAGATCAATGGAATTTCATCGATTTTTTTAGTTGGTTGTTCTTTTTCTCTCTCACTGTCTTTTTTCGAAGTGCACCAAGACACGTGCATCGTAAGGCCAGACTTACTTTTGAAATGCTTGTTGCATGTGTCACAACGATACAAACTTACATCATCATCCTCAACAAACGAACGACCAGGGACTTCTTGTAACTCATTTCGATGAGGTATCTTTTTAGAAAAACCGAACTTGAACAACGTTGACTGCTTTTTCTTATCTCCCATATTACAACTACTGTAATACTCAGCCACACAAACAGAATAAGAATTCTATTTTGTTGTGACTAACCTATTTGACTAAAACTAAAACACCTAAAGTGTGAATTCACAACAAAGCACAGCTGCATGTGAGGTGAGTTAAAACGGAAATTTCTCATGTTGATTCTTGGCCCCATGAGCATGGCCGGTTTTACTGAAAATCAATGGAACCGGCTTCCTAATTGTAAATTGTGCGGAAATATAAATATATTCAAAATTAAAAAGTTCCTTAGGGATTTGGCCTTTAGTAGTAAAAGTTCCTTAAGTTTTTTGACCTTCTACATGTAGGTTCCTTATAAACGGTTCCTTATAAAAAAAAAGCGTGTACAATTTTACAATAACAATCACAGCTTTACAATTACAGAAGTATTCTAAAGCCAACAAGAGTTCCTTATGCTTAGTTCATTTATTAATTCATAACGAGAAAATTTTCATTTCAAGGTCAAACATCGCTTGCTGATATTTGTACTTGGATTCCCATGAACCGGAACCTTTTCCTCTCTTGCGGAACTGGTGTCTGCTTAAAACACTTCAAGCCGTTTTCGTGGTTCTGAATACATGTCAGCTGTCAATAAGGGCTTGGTAGAGAATCAAATTATTTCAACCAGGTCATTCGATGATAAATGTCATTGGTAAGAGGTCGCACCCTAGCTGACAGTAAGTTCGAAGTTGCACTCGTAAAAGATGGCAAAGACTGTTATAATTTTCGCTTTCATATTATTGATAGTGCAGTCCAAAGAGCATCAGAAGGAAACTTCAGACGAAGGCTCTTCCGGATTCTTAACTTCTCTACGCGAAAGCTTGGTCTTCGAAGGTGAATTTAAACTTGTTTCTTACCATTGATTTAAATTTAACGTAACGCTATTTGCTGTGCTAATGCTTATGATCAGTGGCGAAAATTGCAAGGGTGTGGGAGGCAACTGCCCCCAGGTTTTGCCAAATTATCGGTTTTGTCGTAGTCCGGTCTGAAATTACACAAATCGTGCAAAATATGATACCAGCATGAAAACTTAACAACTTATGTAGTTTGAAGTGTAGAATTAAATGCGAAACGGACCCATGCCGAAAAATGCCGCTAAAAACTATTTTTAGAACATTTAACTTGGCCCCAGTTCTCAAATTGAAATAAGTCACTTGTGAGCGATTTAGCAAATATATATCTGCAAAATTTGATATTCTATCAGCTGCACCTGTGTAGACTATAGACTTTGCCTAAGCAAGAATTGTTAGCTCTTTGCTGATTCTATTATAGGACACAATGCATTTTTGCAAAAAGTCTTTCACCTCAATCGTATTCGCATACAAACATATGCAAGTCTTTGGTTACATCACAGTAACACATTTTGAACTTGAATTTGGTGCAGGGCAGTGGTATTGCTCATGTCAGTAGTTTCTGGAAATAATTAGCACTAACAATATTTAAGAAGTTCTCCTTGTTGGTGGGAGACAGGATTGAAAATGGAGGGTAAATTTAACACCCATAAAAAATAATTTTGAAAAAAGGTTCATAATGTTTTGCAAAACGTCCCTGAGGCCACGAACCTTCTTCGTGAACAGCATTTCCCTACAATCATCTATTGTTGATGGCCGACATATAAGATCGTAAAGCAGAATAAATCTCTCAATGGACTGAGCATGATTCTTAGTAAGCTCTCTAGCTTTACCTGACGACAGCTCAGATAAATAGAAAATAATATGATAATGCCAGGAGAGGCTACTAATGCACTCAGTCAAGACAATAATTTAGTTTCTAGCTACAGCTATAAAATTGTAATTTGTAACATTGATTAGGATGCCTAATTAAAAAAAATTCGGTAATACTAAGGTTTGATTTTCAAACATCCCATCCGCTTTTCTTTCTCTACCACAGAGTAATAAAACTTTATTACACCCTGTGAAAGCATACCAACAACGTAACCTACTGCAAATATTTACTTCAAGTTTTGCAGCATACGTGTGTATTTGAAACCATCGCTTTTTATCCGTCCAAACCAAACTCAATCCACAACTTATCGATGTTGAACTCTTGAAAAAGGAAGATCACCATTGCAATGACCTCTGCGTGTACGGTCAAGATGCCGATTTCTTGTTGAATTGTTTCTGCTGCATTTTGTATGTGAAGGAAATGCGCGTGATTAAAGCCATAAATTACAAAACAAAACGTTGCACATTGATTCAGAGTGCTATACGTATGTTTCTAAAAAAGTATGATATTTTCAAATGCTGCAAACTGTTCACATTATAAGAAACTATCAAAAATAGGCATGGGAAATCAAAATGGGGTAATTTATGAACTTTGTTTGCTTTAAATCACAATTCATGCATGAATTTCGCAAAGATAGATTTATCAAATGCACTTTTGGCAATTTTTTCGCTTTGTGGACTTGGTAAGGACCAAATTAATTCTAAAAATGGAGCTCATATTTTGGCATGACATTTCAAACTTCAGATTGTATATAAATATCAAAGTTTGCAGACATAATCTCGTTAAGCCGCACGCAAGTGACGTTCTCATTTTAAGGACTGGGACCAAGTTAAATATTCTAAAAATAGAAAATGGGGTAAGTTGTGGAACTTATTGCTTGGCATAACATTCACACCTCAGATTGTTTACTAATACCAAATTTTATAGAAAACACTCGTTATAGAGTTCGAAAATGACCTTTTCATTTCAAGGACTGGAACCTAGTTCAATGTTCCAAAAATAGAATGCAGGGCAATTTATGGACCTTATTGCTTGGTGTGACATGTTACATTTCAGATTGTAGATGAATACCAAATATTGCAGACATACACCCGTTTTATTACTCGAAAGTGACTTTTTCATTTAGAGGACTGGGACCAAGTTCAATGTTCTAAAAATAGAATATGGGGCAATTTATGGACCTTGTTGCTTGGCGTGACATTTTACATTTCAGATTGTAGATGAATACCAAATATTGCAGACATACACCCGTTTTATTACTCGAAAGTGACTTTTTCATTTAGAGGACTGGGACCAAGTTCAATGTTCTAAAAATAGAATATGGGGCAATTTATGGACCTTGTTGCTTGGCGTGACATTTTACATTTCAGATTGTAGATGAATACCAAATATTGCAGACATACACCCGTTTTATTACTCGAAAGTGACTTTTTCATTTAGAGGACTGGGACCAAGTTCAATGTTCTAAAAATAGAATATGGGGCAATTTATGGACCTTGTTGCTTGGCGTGACATTTTACATTTCAGATTGTAGATGAATACCAAATATTGCAGACATACACCCGTTTTATTACTCGAAAGTGACTTTTTCATTTAGAGGACTGGGACCAAGTTCAATGTTCTAAAAATAGAATATGGGGCAATTTATGGACCTTGTTGCTTGGCGTGACATTTTACATTTCAGATTGTAGATGAATACCAAATATTGCAGACATACACCCGTTTTATTACTCGAAAGTGACTTTTTCATTTAGAGGACTGGGACCAAGTTCAATGTTCTAAAAATAGAATATGGGGCAATTTATGGACCTTGTTGCTTGGCGTGACATTTTACATTTCAGATTGTAGATGAATACCAAATATTGCAGACATACACCCGTTTTATTACTCGAAAGTGACTTTTTCATTTAGAGGACTGGGACCAAGTTGAATGTTCTAAAAATAGCTGTTAGAGGTATTTTTATGCTTGGGTCTATTTTGTACATATTCTGCATCTCAAACTACATAAGTTGTGAAGTTTTTATGCTGGTATCATATTTTGCACGATTGTTGCATAATTTTGTGTCAACAGACCTAACTATCGGCAAAATTATGTCATTTGTCGGCAAATTTGCTTGCTTTTGTGTGCATTGTCCCATCCATCCTACACTTTGAGCCACGAAATTGCACACTTCCAAATAAGAGACATAGAGAAATTAATGCCTAGTTTTGATACTGTGGTACTGTAATTCGTAGGCGATGATCCCCGAACCATCGATGATAGTCCAAAACCATCGCGGATGCTGTGCATCGGGGATCGTCGCCGATGAAGTACGATATATGAAAGCCAGGGTTCAAATTTACCTCGCTGACACAGAATTAGAGTATTCTGTGACGGAAAATAGCCTGCGTTACACCCCTGACTCAACGGTCGATTATATATCATTATGTTTGATTTTGGCAATGAAACAAAAGTTGGTACCTCTTCAAGAGAATCTTCCTCCAAGTGAAGGGACTTGTACATTACTCTGGGACTTGTCTATAATCCCCAAACTTCAAACCAATAGGATTACATTCTATTGCCAATAACCGATACCAATAAAAAACCTATAACCAATGACCTTCTAACCAATAAAAGGGATTTAGATAGTCGTTTCCTTAGTTTGAAGACTTGAAATATCCTCTGTCTAACTAAGCACGTCAGATTTTGCCAGTAAACAAAGTTTTAGTTGTATAACTTGCGTAGCCAATAGTTTTAGTGTGACAGCCAGCAGTGAAGTTTTAAGTTCAGGCGATTCCTTGGCTTAAGAAGTTTGAGCTCGTGTCTTGTTGCTTTATTTGTACACAACTTGAAGAAGGTTGTGAACTTCAAGTCGACGACACCTTTTATAATTTTGAAACCAAAGTTCCTCGAGGTCTTCTATACGCAAGAGTTGGGAAATCAAGAGCATTAAGACGCCTTTTTAAGGCAATCTTCTCAACGATGGCACTAATTTGTGGCTTTTCTTTGGACGCTTTCTAGCGAACGAATGTCTTTCACGAGGCTTGGGTTCCAAATTAAGCAGGCAGATTCAATAATGGTCTAACTAAACCTATGCACAATGTTTTGCAAGTATCAAAATTTAAATACTTGATCGTTCTTTTATTGAAGCGAAGACACCGTTCCATTTTCTTACTCAAGTGGCGATTTGGTTTTGAGATTTTAGATTGGTATCGACGATAACTTTCGGTTTCTTTCGGTTATTTTATTTCGACTTGGCGTTTGTTTTTTGATCAACTGTGTAGAGAGAATTTGGGCCTTCCTTCTCCCCTTTCTTAGTGCGTACGTGCTTGCTTATTCTAATTACTCCTTTTAACCCCTGTGTTCATTACATACGTCATTACTACACATTGGGGTACATTACCTTCTAATTCCATTCGAATTTGACTTCGAAAGAAGTCGTTGATCGGTCCTTCGCCCCAATCCCGACCAAGTTCCCTTTTATGCGGTTGGTTGAAAAGGTGTATTGCTGACGCACGAGTAGAAAGGCGAAGAAAACTTTGATGTCTACAATACGTCAACAATATGGAAATCCTTGTTTATTTGATTTTAGATTTATTTGATCGCAATTAATGCTTTTATCGTAGGGCACTTTCTCTTGAAAATCAGCTTATGCTGAAATGCAAGCCACTCTTAAAAGAATCTAATTTGAAATATAAGTACAACAAAATGAAAGTAGAAGATTTCGGAACATATCAAGACCAAACTAGACTTCTCTTATTAATTTAATGAACCCAAGAACTTAATTTAATCAAGCGACTTTATTACGTTATTTTCATCTAGGCACAAAATGGTGTGGCTTAGATGACATTGCAGAATCGTATGACGACTTGGGGGTCAACATAGAAACGGACAAATGTTGCAGAAGCCATGACCTCAGTTGTCCCATACGAATCAAGTCATTTCAAAGAAAGTACGGCCTGTCGAATTGGTCTTGGAAAACTTCATCGCATTGCGACTGTGAAATTCGTTTCAAAAGTTGCCTTCTCAAGGTAAGTCTACTTAAGGTAGAGTTACTTTCCTCGAAATACATCTGATATTATCAACTCTTTTTCAAAATCCGGCAACGTACCGTCTATATCAAAATCTATTCTGCCCCAAGAACTCCCTTATTCTTGCTTTAAATGAACCCAGTAAGGCAAAGTCCCCTATACGGGTTGGGGTCTTTTTTTGTATACTTGCTCCCTGATATCCTAAGGAGTTTTTACAATATTCAACACAAAGCCGAGGAATTTCGAAAGCATCTGTTTTACTTTCGTAAATATCCCAAAATATCAATAATCGAAAAACCAAATAGTCACTAACTGTCGCATTTATTGATTGATTGTCACTAAAAGGAAAACAGAAAAAAGCATTGGTTTTTAACTTAGCGTTCGATCAAATTTTGGAAAAAGCTAGAAACCCTACTTTTCTGGAAACAATCATACTGATTCACATATTTTTCTCTTGGAAAATGATTCAACAAACCCAAAAAATGTAGCTAAGATTTAAAGGCAGACATTATGTTATTAAGAATTCAACAAAAGCATGAAACTGCTTGCCAAACTCTGAAATAGACTCTGTGAAAAAGCTGCTTTGCTACCCAACCGTCTTGATTAATCAACGAAATTTATCGGAACATTCCGCAAATTCTTTCTCATATATCCAGAGTTAAATAGATGGCAGACCCTATTCAGAAAATAGGAAAACAAACAACACAATATCTTTCTCTATTGACCTTGGTCAACAGCTTCAAATGTGCAAAAATTAAAGATGCAAAACAAAATAAGCGAGCAAATAAGTATCTTAACCAGTTTTTTGCTTATTTTCCATAAAGTCTTCTGCGGAAGCTTCGTCTGCGGTAGTATCTTCTGCGGAAGATACGTCTGCGGTAAAGTCTTCTGCGGAAGATACGTCTGCGGTAAAGTCTTCTGCGGAAGATACGTCTGCGGTAGTATATTCTGCGGAAGATACGTCTGCGGTAGTGTCTTCTGCGGAAGATACGTCTGCGGTAGTGTCTTCTGCGGAAGATACGTCTGCGGTAGTGTCTTCTGCGGAAGATACGTCTGCGGTAGTGTCTTCTGCGGAAGATACGTCTGCGGTAGTGTCTTCTGCGGAAGATACGTCTGCGGTAGTGTCTTCTGCGGAAGATACTTCTGTGGTAGTATCTTCTGCGACCGCTCCACAAGGGATCTGCTACAGAGCCGTCCTTTTCTACATCCTGCAAACTGTCTAAAAGAGACCGTTTGTAAAGATTAAGAAAGTCATAAAAAATGAAGTAAGAAACGCCTGAATCTGAATCTGGGGTGAATTGAGCGTGTAGCTAGCGCTCTGGGTTCAACGCTGTACGTTAGCTTTAAAAATGGATATTTCTGTAGGGCTCTGGAAAAATCTAGAAGAATGATTTTGAAGTTTCAAAGAGCTGCAAAGCTTTACATCGAGTAAAATGTTCACAAATCTTATCATTTTCAGTACCTTTAGCTATTTTATTGTCCTTATGCAGTTCTGTAGCATCACTTTCCTCGTCTTCAGAGGGCTCTTCAGCTTCTGGGTCTTCCACTTCTTCACTTGCAGAATCTTCCTCTACATGAACACTCTTCTCCGCCACCTCGTTGGTGTTTTCCTCGACAGCTCCACCTAAAAAATTAATTAAATCCGGTGTAAGCTCAACTATTGAGGATTGCTACTTAAAAAGATCACAATAGCATTTGCTAAGTAGGAATTTGGTTACGTGAACACTTTGATAAAAGCTGCAGATTCCAACAATGTTTTAACTTTGTATCACAAAGCAAAGTATTTCACCAAATCTTCCCCTTCTAGCTTATCGACGATGAATAGTGTTTATTGAGTAATGACTGACTGGAGATAGACTTCAATCGCAAAATGGAAACTGCGTGAACACAGTTTGTGGAGCGAAATGGCACGGTATCTTCGTTTCTACTTTCACGACATTCGATTTGAAACAAGGGGGCTATGCATTATATAACTATACACTTAATCCAACTAGGCTGTAATCCAGCAGCCGCGCCCGCGATCGTTCACATCGCTGACTAGATTTGTGAATAGGAATGGAAGTGACACTATTGACTTTCTATTCTTTGTTCAAATCTTAATAATTCTAAACGAGTGCATGGATCTTTCTTCGCCCGATCACATCTTTACCAGTGTCTTGACTAAATAATAGCAAGCAAGGCTGCACCTACCGTTGATTGAAATGACGAGTCCAAGAAGGACACAAAACAGCAACACGGCCTTCATCTTGGAACAGGTTCGCAGCGTTCTCGGCCCAAACCTGCCCTAGCACCAATGTTCCCACACAGAATATCTCTATTCTGTGCCTCCAAACTGCCAATGCAACGCAATTCTGCTCTTTTATACGCACAAATCTGGACTTCCGGTTGAATATTTTGTCCATTAGTCCATTGAATATTTTTGACCAAGACTGCCCTCTCTGCTGTCACAACCAATCACTGTTTTGTTCCACGCCAATGAAGCCATAAAGTAGAAATTCCTTTATGCGCTGGCTGTGAAACTTACAAAAGGTTGCGGTTCGAGGTTGAATGATATGATTCGAACATAGGTAAAGCCCTAAGGCTAAATACAAATGTTACCAAGGCAGCCTTTCCACTAGCCTGGGTTAAATCATACCCGGGTTAAAAGTTATCCAATTTTAAAGTGAGTCAATGGAAACGGCACTTTTCTTCGACCCGCTTTAAATCCGTTTTTGATCGTTCCCACTAAGCTGGGTTGAAATGTATCCAGGGTGAAAAGTTGTAAGAGAAATCAGTATTTGCATAAAAAATCCTTCAATTTCTATCGTTGTAGGCCAATGGAAGCAACATCGACATCCTGGATTTTTTTTTATTTTTGGCGCCGTCTCAATTTTTAAACGTTGCTGTTGTTGCAAGTGGATCAAAAGTTATCCGGGTTCGGCGTTTCCATTAACTCGCAGGTGAGTCAAAAGATACCCGGGTAAAAACTGACCCACTTTGAGACCCGTTTTCAAACTTATGCGTTTTTCAAGTGGGTTAGTTGGAACGCGACGCAGAAACGGATAACTTTTAACCCGGATATGTTTTAACCCAGGCTAGTGGAAAGGCTGCCCAAGTTTACACCTAAAGAATCAAAATTTTCCAGTAACTCCATTGGCAATCTTCTATTCCTTTGCTGCTGATCGATTCCATTGATTTTTATACATTTATATCCGCCAATAAGGATGCTGTTCCTTGTTCTATTTTCAAGTTCCTTTAGAAAACCATAGGGGATTTTCCTGAATTTCCGCTTTCTGTTTCCATTTATTTTTTACAAATCAAACATTTTTGAAAAATGTCTTTGCTTCGCATAATCTGCCAAATCACATTTTCCGCTGTACTGGGCAACTTTCTCCACTGGAATTTCAGAACAACAGAGAATAAAGAAATATGCGGTATTGTTGATCTGCTAAAGAATCTTTCGGTAAAGAATAGACGTAGATTATAGCAATGATCTGATCAAGTGCCTAACCATACAATTACAATTACAATTGCATTTTGTCGTCGCTTTGATTTGAGTAAAAGCTATCCATGCTGTGAGGAAAATGCTGGCCTAAAGCTGAATTCACACTGGACGCGTCACGGCGCGGCGCGTCATGACGCTGACCAAATATGGTTAGCATTTTCGGCAGCTATGCGGACGCAGCACGTTTCTCAGGCACGCGTCAACGAGCGTCAAAGTTAAATAAGGTCCAGTTACACTATACCGGATTGCTATCGGAGCGGAGTAACTTTCATATCGGATAGGGGTTTGAGTTACACTACGCCACACCAATTCGATACACAACACTCTGGTGGTGATACGAAAATCATTCCGGAATCACTCCGTAGCGGAGCGTTGTAGTGTAATCGCACGAATCCGATATGCTCCACTTTGAAACAAACGATTTTCTTATTGTTTTCTGCTTGAAGCAATTCGATCGATAGTGAATAATGGTGCTTTCTGAGATTTTGTTGCTGTTGGATAATGCCAAATCGAAATCGTGAAAGCATTTTCGTATTTGGATTTCATCTCTTCCCGAATTTCAATGAAGTGGCCCTTGGGCGAAAAACATACTTTAACACATCAGATAGCAACACAATCTCGCTGTCCTTCCTAAGAAACCCATCATTTATTTCTCAGTTTCATGGTTGTTTTCGTCATTTTATTCATCGGTATTGAAAACCAATTCATAACAGCACATAGATTCGAAAATATCATCAAAAAATTTTATCTGGTGGATTTTTTGTACCAGAAATGCAATGGAATACAGGCTTATGAGCGAGCGGAGCGTCGTAGTGTAACTGCTACCCTAAATATCACTCCGGAGTAAAAGTTACTCCGCTCTGCTCCGCTCCGATAGTAATCCGGTAAACTCTAGCCTAAATTTAACTTTTACGCTCGGTTTCGCTTCAGAACAATAGAAAACCTAGAGAATAATGACAGCCAGAAACGTAAACAAAGATCTTCTGAAATAGGCCATTATAAAACTGTATTGCTTGTACGGTAAAGTATATTTTGATGAGTCTCTCTGATTAAAGCATCGGGGGGCTAAATTCTGAAAGTAACAAAAACAAATCACATTTATTAGTTTATGATAAGTAACAGTATTATTCATGCTTAGAGTCTCTGTCTATAAAGATGCCTGGTCGATGTTCAATTCAACAATGATGTTGAGTCATTGTTTGTTCCGTTTTGGTAAAAAAAAATATTTCAATCACTCCCCGTTAAGCTTTCAATACCTTCCAAAGGTTTACTTCCGAGGGATTTAATTTACTGAAATTTTAGGGAGTGTTGATAAAAATAAGCTGTTTAATTTTCCCTCGAATTTTGACAGGAAGGGAAACTGTCAATTGATTTTGTCGTACTGATTTTGTCGACTTTGGATTAAAGCTGGTTCCAATGATTTCTGTCGAAACATAAAGATGTCTCTTTTTCACCGAGCTGGCTATTCTGTTCAATATAAAGCTGTGCTTTCCCAAGAAATGAAAGATAAAATTAAATGGATAAGGTTAAGGGCAATATATGTACCGATCCGTTGGGTAATTGTCAATAGCGATCTAATACGGGCTAAATAACTAGCGACCTGAAATCAATAGATAGACTTGAAAGAATCATTTTAGTGGTTCATTGATCTGAAAATATCTACATTGAAAGAGTCTCTAAAGATTATTTCTAATGGACAACCAGAACGCTCCTAATGTTCACTGATTTTTTTGTATATTTTTGTATATATAAGTATTTATTTTCAGACTCTTTTAATTAACTTGTGATGATAACAATTAAATTTAAATATTCGAAGGGAACAGCGTTAAAAAGCATTCGACCCACACTTTTGTGCAGAAGCCCAAACTACAGAACTCCTTCTTCTCTATTATTCCCATTAGCATAAGAGAAGCGCATAAGGCCTAAATATCAAATTGAAGCATGACAATTGCACCTAATGCAAATAATACAAACAAGCTAAAATAGAACTCCTAGCGAAATCAAATTCCACAACTTTCCACGTGCAATTAATTCTGATAAAATTTCATTTTGTTAGCATCAATCTTAAAAAATACAGTTTGAAATTAATAATTTTTAGTTTCAAAGTCTGTATCCGATTTGATGGTATCTCAGTCTTTAAACAGTGTATAATTGTATAGTGAGATAAAGCTTTGAGTAACAAGGGTAATTCCAAGTAAGCCCTTAGCACGTTCGCTTGGCAGTCTTACTGCAGATGACTCCCAACACAAATCACCCGTATAATCCATAGTTGGTCTGAAACGGGACAAATGACATGCACCAATCAAACTTGTACCACAACCTCCTTGTGCCAAGTGGACCGAAAGTTTGTTCCATCCATCTGATTTTTTATTTCTACTTTCAGTGAAATTGTTATAAATTTTCAATACTTGAGGAAAGGAAAATTGTGACGTCACCATGACATCAGGACTACGACCAATTTAAAAACCAATTCTACTAGTGGATTGCCCTAGTAAATTGGTTTACAACTTCAAAACCAATCCCACCAGTGGATAACTGTTGTAAAACGCTTTAAAAGTAAGCTGTGGTACCACTGCTGATTCAAGAGTTTTTGGGAAAACTGACCGACTTTGTCAAGTACCAAAACGGGTACCGACTTTAGAATATTTTCAAGTTTTGTCACAAAATGGCACAACCGTAACTGGGACCACACAGCCCCTTCAGAAATCAGAACTACATCATCCTAGAAGAAATTTTCCTTGAAGCATTTATCTCACATTTTCTGTTCGTTAGGCATAGGCCTTGTGATATATTAGCTGTCAAGTTGCCGCAGAACGACTTTCTGCCGGGTAAAAGCTTTGTGAAAACATAAAAAGATGTGTTTCTTCGTACATTCTGCCATACTTTGCAGGGTTTGTTTGATTATGTGAGTAAAAAGCGTCGAATGATAATGGAGCCGCTTCTGCTCGCCGTAGAGAACACAAGCAAATGTTCGCTCGTTTAACTACAAGTACCAGAATGCATTGCGCCATGACGTAATAAGTGGAAGCAATTTAAATCATTTTCTATTCAGAAAAAAAGGGGATGACATAGACTCTTTGACCATTCAAGTTTTTGCCATACCTTCCTGTAAATGTGATTTTTATGCAAAATGCGGTCCCTTTCATTCACAAAGGCAACGTGAAATTGGAGCCAGCATTTCGTATTTTTTGTGTGTGAGCAGGGACATTCTTCAGTGGCCGAAAGTTCTTTAGAAGCGAGCAACAAAAGCAAAAGATAAACAAATTATGCAAACAGGAAAATAGGGAAAAGAAAATTTAAGTAACTAGAACCCCACTGCTTGACAGAATGCCATGGAAATGAAGTTTCATCCCAAACCCCTTTTATGCAAATGCCAATGTGTATGGATGCTAGAATATTGAAAACATTGCCATATGATTTAACTTACCAGTGAGATGGTTTATTGAGTCCAAATGCTTTCGCTGTTGACTGCCATCGATTAGCAGCAGGACAAAGTTAAGAGCTAAATAGCAGCCAATCCAGTTCTTTCGACGCTCCACTGTCCAATTTGAATTTTTTTGTTTAAAAACTAATTTATCGTCGAAACATTTAAATCCAATTCGTGGAAACTTCGGCCATATCTTACAACATGACCCCAATCAACGCAACATTGATTTTCGCGCGAATTTTGCAAAATGCATTGTGGACCATGCACGTGGTCTCACAAGCCAATGAAATACACACGGGAATAAGTTTATATTCACGTTGCAGCGTGATTATGCTTTGGGAAAAAGTTCTTTGTTATCTGTGAAGAAATCAAGAATGGAAGTGTCCTGTTTATCTCAACAGTATTGACACTAGTTATAGCAACGAGTCTGTTTTTTCAATATATATCTTGATATAATGTACAAAATGAGAAAACAATATCAGCCTACGATCTTAGAATAGCGGCATTTTGTGAACAGCAGCATTTCGTGAATAACAACATTTTGCGATTGGATGAAAGTTGGTCTTGTGATTCACTAACTCAATCAACCTGGCTAGAAAAAATGCATGCTGACGACACTTGCTACTTAAAGAACTTCGAGAGAATTGCTGAGATTGTAAATAGGGAAAAGGCCGAGCTGATAAACATATACATTCTGATATGTCCCAGTTCATATTCATATAGAATTGAAAAATAGGCTGATACATTTACAAAAGAATCCCACTTGAAAATCTTTTCCATTGCCAGAATATTAATTCTCTGAAATGAAGTATAAATAAAACTAATGAAACAACATAAAAAACACAGTTATGGTGAGATAAATGAAATAATTTTAGTAAATTTAACTTTCTTTGGTTTCTGCAAAAACCATTATTTGGATCATCCATGTGATCTCCAAAGCTTGAGAAAGGATACAATGGGATCCAACGCAAATCAGATTCGTGGTCAATCGCCGGGTTACATGAGGTTTTTTAATTACACCCTTCTAGGTGAAAATAATTGGGATTGCATGAAGGTTTTCAACAAAGGAAAACTCTATCCTGTGGTGTGAATGATCTATTAGTTGATGATAAACCAAACATAAACGAGCGTGCCATTTATGTTTTGTGATGGTGATGCTAGAGACGGTTCACCAACGGTTCATCAACGAATCACCATCCAGTAACTATAGGCTTCATTGCAAGTTTCCACGATTCACCAACGATTCACCACCAAGTATATAAGGGTTATAGTAATATTCTTTAACAACAGTGGTCAACCGTTGGTGAACCGTTGGACCCTGAACTTAAGGTAACAAATAAAAATGGTGAACTGTTGGTGAACCGTTGGTGAACCGTTGGTGAATCGTTCATAATTTTTGATTTTTTCATTAATCACGTGACTTCCTACTTTTCGTTTCAAATTGAACATTTAGGTGCAAAGTTACCATTCACATACAAAGTAAACAGAAAATTTGTTCGCCATCATTGTTGAGTTAAAGCAAGTGCAGGATATACTCTTGCGTCTGCATCTCCCAGCCCCGCTTATTGGTATTATACTAAAAAGTCCACCCAAGACATGCTAAATTTCGACCCCTGGTCTCACATTTCCGAGATTTGTATATCAAGAAACGTGATGATACACTATTTAGAACTTAATTAAAAAACTATATTGTTTTGTTAAGAAAAATTTTTGTTTTGTTTTGAGCCAAAGCTTTAAGGAAGAAGTGCCTCGTTCATATTTATTCTGTTTCCAATTGAAAGGGGTTGCTAATAATTCCCCCCTAATTAGAATCTGGGCAACCTTTCAACTCACCCCTGTCACCCTTTTATTCCATACCCGTCAGTTACTGAAATGTAAAAGGTTTTCCACCAACCTGTTTATTTTAGGCCTCCCCGTTTATTTTTGACTCAAGAGTAATTAAACAGAGGCAACATAAGACCATAACATACCTGATAGACTAACATCAGATACATAAGGGCTGGTTGCAAAATTCAGCAAAACTTTCTAGTTTGACATTGACAAGGGAGTCTCATCTCCCATAGGCCCCCCTAGCACTCTCACCCCTGCCTATAAAAAAACGGCTATATTATTAATAACTATTAAGTGAACGCCTAAACCTTTTGCTACCGTAGGCGAACACCCAAGTATCAAAGATGGTCCATGCAATCTACTTCAACACGATTAAGCCTCGCTGCATCAGATTAAAGACACTGAGAAAGAGAACTTGCGTGGAAAGACGGTGGTGGGTGTGCAGGAAGTTCAATGTCAAAGTAGAACACAAGGCTTATTTTGTTCCACTGGACAAAATACTTGGAGTTAATACAACCAGCTTGATATAATATCATAAAAATGTCAGTGTATGTTTACATTGGACAATTACAAATTTTTCCATGATTTTAGTAGTTCTTTATTTTGCTCAACTCTAATATTTATGAAAAAATCTTGTTAAATTTGTGTTATCATTATGGAAATGCTATTATAGATTTTGCAGTAGAAATATGATCATCAAAAGACATTTAAGTTAAAGAATTTCACGCCTTGCTAGACGGTGTAAAGACTTCCTTTTGAAATAACATGAAAAATCAACAACTTTACAAAATTCTGATGATTCAGCCATGTATTGGTCAAAGTTGCTGACGTTGCACGCTGTTAGATCGTAAAAAAAGCTATTTTTCGTATAATTGGTATTTAAAGGGCATTATAAGCAGAGGAAGTTTTGGATTTGATCTTCAGGAATAACCACAACCACCGGAGTTTTGATGGTCTATCTTTTTGCGCAGGGCTCCAGAAAGCGTTTGTCGTGCTTAAGCTGTGAATAGGAAAGATTTAGAGATGGGGAATCTTGATGTTTTCATACAGAGCATTTCCAGCCTGTTGGCTCGTTATTATAAGATTAGAGCATACACACAGCCAACGATTTTAGAAGCTAAATATCAACTCGTAGCAACTTTTATAGAGCCGCCTCACTTACATTTATTGTTGATGTTTTCATACAGTGCTGTATCTTTAACACTAAGCTTCTTTGCAAGAATGTTCCGATCTCCTTTTCTCTAAACTTTTATCAAAAATGAGTTTTTCCTCTGATAATTATTACTATTCGATTATTCAAAAACTCATTATTCATACATCAATTCAACATAAATTAAAAAGAGGTTGTTTTAGCAATTGTTGCTTATTAATGTGTTTCTTTTTGTTAATAAGATTTTATCCAGAATTCCTGGGTCAATCCAAAAAAAATTGCCGACTAAGTTTTGGATGGATGTTGGATGAAATGTCCAAATCTATGCCTGGGCCTAAGTTTCTTGTTTTTTTATTTACCTTGCCTCCACCAGAACGGAAATTCTAAGCTCTTCTTTCATGAAAAATATAGATAGAATCAACTATTTGAACAGAAGTAATTCACATCTGCACGCAGAAGGAACATGCAGCTTGACGAATAGTTTCTGACTAGGGAACGGTACCCGGATAAATTTTATCCGCATCAAAGTTAGTTCAGATAGGCGTCGCGTTTACACTAGACTCTCGCTATCCGCACAAATTTGAGAACGGCTATCCGAACAAAATTAGTTCACCTAGGAAAGTGGATTAAATTAGTTGGGATAGCTATGTGGTACAGTTTAAACGCTTCTATCCGGATAAATATTATCCACATCGTATCTTGCTCGTAAGCGACCTTTCGTCATCTTGGCTGCCTTGTTGTCGATAAATACTCGTGTTAAAAGTGCAGTATCTTGCCAGTCCACGTAAAGTTGGCGTCTTTGTCAGCTCTCCCTACTTTCGTTGCTAGTCCAGTGTCATTCTGTTTCAAGAATAAACTATTAAAAAAAAGGCCTAATTTGTATTGACAATATCTTTGGATTTGGTTTAAAAGAGAAGCAGATGATTTTGAAGAGAGAATGAAGTCTTTTACGTTGGCGACAATTTTTATATTATTTTGTTGCCCAGAGAAGACTTCATTTTGGGCGTTCGGTGCATGATTTAGGTCATGTGACTGCCATTATCCGGCACAGTGTAAACGGGAGGGCAAAGTGGACAAAATTTGTGCGCAAATCAATCCGAATAAGTTTTATGCCGATAAATTCTATCCGGCACAGTGTAAACGGGGAAAAAGGACCCTGCGAGCATTGAAGAGACTGGTGAGGCGTCGGAATGTGGAATCTCAAAGGGCAACCTCTCTGAAAATACTGATGCTTGGTCTAAATTGTTGAGGTTAAGGAATGTAGGTAGAGCAAAACATCAATCCTATTGGGAATAAACTCGAAGCAGTAAGAGAAATAATTGCAACTAACATAAGGCTGAGACCCCAAGATGCATTGATTTAATTTTGGAAAATCGTGGTTATAAACATTTTGACCAAACAAATTTAAGACAAGACTTGGACGCAGCGTGTATACTTCAAATTCAAACTATGGGGTGTTTGGTACTGGGCAAAATATGTTTTATTTATGAATAAGGCTATAGTGTTATAGTTCTATAGGCTAATAATGCTATAGGCTAAAGTTCTAAATAGAAACTAAATTTGGGTGTTCTACAAGGATCGGTTTTTTGACTTCTCCTTTTCAACATCTACTTGAACGATCTTTTACTGTCTATTGCTGATATTGAGATACGCAATTATGGTGATGATACCACTCTTTATACATGTGACCAATGTTTCCAAAATTAATAAAACGGTTCTCTGTCAACTACTTTAAGCTAAAAGAAGACAAATGCCATTTTGTAGTATTAGATGCCTCCAATAACGAGCCTGTTATCATCAAGATCGGTAATGCGTCTGTGCAAAATAGCACTCATGAAAAGTTGCTAGGTATTACTATAGAAAATGTTGCTCTGTCAAAAGTCTAGCAACAAGTTGTATGCTCTCTCACGTATTGCCAACTTCATGAATCAAGGCAAGTTGAGGTACAAATTTTCCTGGTACAATTTACTTACATTGATCGTTATTTATTCATCATATTGTACCGCACGCATTTTAGTATATTTATGGTACTTAATGAGAGCCTTTAAAAAGAGTCAGTTTCAATGTTGTTCCTTGGTGTGGATGTTCCACAGCCGAAAACTTCGACACAGAATTGTTAAATTACAACAAGAAAGGGCACTAAGAGTTAGGTATCAGAACTATGGATCCAGTTTTGTGGAAAAGAGAATAGGAATAACTGTGCACAAGAGAAACTTACAGCTTTTCATGAGCGAAATTTACAAGAACGAAAATGGCTTGAATCAAGCCTTTATGAAAGAGGTTCGTTGTGAATTTGAAAATCAGTAGAATCTTAGGAACCCTAACCATTTTTCTCTCTATGAACTGCTTAATATGACAGGGAAACCATTCGGTTTAGAGGCCCACAAGTCTGGGTTACCGCCCATAAAATTTATGAAAGGATCTAATTCATGAAATGATATCTTAGTGAGTTTGAAAAAAATTAAATCTTCATCTGCCACTGCCACCTATGTCAAACATAGAATCATCTGCCACTGCCACTTATTCCAAACTTAGAATTCATCTGCTTTTAATGTTTTTATACTGAAAATGTTTTATTGTAATATTTACTGTATTTACTAATTTAACTGCTGTCTGTAACTTTCTACTAAATATAAATATGTAATTTGTTAGTTAAGCTAAATTGGCATTTATTATTGCCACTGTTTTCTATTAGCCAACTTTTTAAGAAATTGATAATTAGTATAATCCTTACCTTTGAAATCTTTGCTTTTTTACATTACTGAAAGAGTCTCATTGGCTGAAAGCATTTAATTTGCCACCATCTTTCAAGACTGACACCCTCGTCGGGTTTCTTGAATTAAATAAAAAACATCGTTTTTAAAATTTGGTAGAAGTTAATCGAAATTTCATACTTTTTTACTGAATAAGCAGTTGCTTCATTAAAATGTTAGCAGACCAACAAATTATTTCATTTTTGCATCTATTGTGATAAGTTCTTTCAAATACTCCTCTAAAGCAAGTGTACGCTGTTGTGTAAGGCATATTTCAACATCACAAATTCACAATGTTCAGAAAACTTTGGGCAAAAACAATATTGTGGATAGTTTTCAATAATATCATGATATGTTATCTTTAATTTAGTTTATACATCTCACCACATACCAAACAGACTTCTGCACAAAAGAAATTCTAATAAATTAATATAGTTAAAAATTCAATACTATATTTATTTCTACGAGTTCAAAAATATTTATCTCAAAATTTTGATATCTTGTGGGTGGTCATGCAAGGTTTTTAGTCTTTACTGATATTTATACTTCTTTAGATACACTGATATACCTAAAAGCAAATCAAAACAAAAGGCCTATTGCGTTGGATCTTTCTGTCGCAAGCTTAAGACTCTTACGCAACCGGCAAACTTTGCGACTATATTTTCAAAACCGGCCTAATATCGTGCTGTATGGAAATACAAAGCACAATAAATTTCTCAAAGACAGCTGCCACTAAGCATGCTGGGTCCGCAAAAGTCCTTAAACACCATGTGATTAATTACACAATGATGCACGTAAGCCAATCACATTTGCCAACGAGCAGGCATCGGCGGCAATTTCTCATTGGTTTTAACTCTGGTATTTACTGCTCTCCTTTCATATTGATCCATCGCCATGAAAGAGATTGCCAATGTCTACTAATCCTTTTATACTTTCTCTTGAAGCGTTATGTTCAAATGTTGCAGCCATCCCACAATGCAGTGCAAACTGTCTTTGTTTGATGTCGAGACAGTAGACGTGAAATGACCCTTTTGTCTTGTGCTCTGTATTTTTTTGGAATATAACTTCATCATGTTTGCAGGAGGTATTGTCGGACACAGCTGATACTATGCCCATTGTTAAATCTCACAGACAGAGCAACCTTCTTCGAGAACATTGGCCACTGCAGTAGCCTTAAAAGGTTCATTACCCATATTATGGGCTTTACCCACATTAAGGACTTCTAGCACAGTCCCATATCCACTGCCTAAGAGGATAACCAATACTATCCTGCACGGTACTCTGAAGTGGGCCTAAGGCTAGAGAATATGGTTATGTTCTAGGGTTTGTGGTCCTGACAGGTTCATTACCCAAATTTAAGGCTTTACCCACGTTAACCGCAGCTAGCAGAGTCCCACATCCACCACCTAGGAGGGTCACCAATACATGATACCTGAAACGGGCCCAAGGCTAGAGAATATGGTAAAATTCTAGGGTTTGTGGTCCTGACAGGTTCATTACCCAAATTAAAGGCTTTACCCATATTAAGCATAACTAGCACAGTCCCACATTCACTACCTAGGAGGGTCACCAATACTATCCTACGTGATACTTAGAAATGGACCAAACAACTAAAGCATAAGGAAATATCTTTAGGCCTGTTTATGCATCTTTGTTCAAATACTCACTATTCCATGTTCTCTAAACAACCTATTTTGAAGTCCATCAACACTATTATTGCGATGAAATGTCCATATAATTACAAGGTTCAGTGCAACAACAAATAGTGTCATTCAATAATAAGTTTCACTGCCTCTTTTTGATTTCGAGGTGGTATCATAGTCTTGAAGAAAAACAGCGGGAACGACATGTTATTTCAAAATTTGCCCATTCTTCTTCTTTCCCATGGCCTCACTAGACGTATATACAGTTTACCAAATCAATTCTCATACAGCACAAAATTACATTACTAGCACCATTTTTGCAACCAATGCGACAACTTTGGCGCTAAACATCAGTTGCGTTCCCTCGGTGTTGCCGCTTTCCAATTCCATTGGGCATGTGATAAGTGGCCTGTACGCTTGAATAATAAGGCGTGCCGTTCTCATCGCGCGGCGCCATAAATGTACCGCGATACTTCTTTCTGAACCTATGTATAAGGAAAGCCATAACTAGAATTATGACCAACGCGCCTATTACAAGTCCAGCGGTGATCCACGCGACGCTACTCTTTTCCAGCTTTTTCTTCTCCCTCTTCCCGGAATGCGGTGTCTGTTGCTAAAAGAAAAGAAACGATAAAATGTCATTCTGTAGCATTATGTTCAACGGTAAATAAATACTTTCATATAAAAATTTATAAAAACGTTGCTATGATATTTAACTCTATTTGTGGTTAGGATGTGCCTCCCACCGTAGAAGTCCTATTTGTTCCGTTTAATCCTATACGAGTAGTGACACGGCTTGCTTCTATTTCTGATTGGTTCATGAAACTTAAAACCCTACACATACAACGCTAGACAAGTAGGATTAGAAAGAATTCATCTTACGATAGTTGATGCTTCTGGGATGACGTCACGAAGCTTGTCCAGTATAGTAGGTTTTGCTTGCTTGGACTTGGTTGCTTTGTCATGCGGGGCCTTCGATTTTGGAACGGTTATTACATCTTCAAGATAAAAAAACATAAAACTGTTAGCAACAGTTATCAATTACCAGATATTCTTAAGAACTACGAAATGATCGTATTGATCAATTCAGCAATGAACTAAAAATTTTTAAGCTTATCAAATAATTACGGTTCCTGACATAATTATCCAAAGAAAATGCTCAGGAGATGCCCTCTTTCTGCGAAAACTTTAAACTTCTTTGCACTAAACTTTTGTCTTCATATTCGGGAAAAGGGTCGAAATTTTAGTCTGAAAGCAGTTCAATGTTGTATTGCTTGCAACATGATTTAATCACAACAAAAAGTTTTACAAGGAACTTTTCCGTGATTTGTGTCAGAGAGTGAGATAATACATCCGGACCGATTTTAGGGGTCAAATTTGTATACCTTTGCAAACTTGATATCTTTATAAAACCTGACAGCAGGAACTGTATGGAAACTGCATCCGGACCGATCCGAATACATATAAACAGATCCGAAAATGAGGTAAAAAGGGATATAAATGAAGCTTAGAGCAATATCCTATTGGTGAATTTTATGAACGATTCAATAACATAATTTGATGATAATCTTGAAAAATTAAGCATGATAAACAAAGTTATCACACCTTTGATTGGTCTTGGCTTTATGCTACACCCTCTTATCACTTTGCCATCGATTTCGGTGTTCAGTCTCTGTCTTTCGCCAGTTTGTTCCAAAATATCAGCAGCTTGCAACGTGCCCCTTATAACATCAACCTGCAATAAACATAGTATCTTTTATCTGTTTATAACAATATTATGACCACGTGTCAACGGAATCATTAAATTGGTAAATTAATATCACGTGATTAGAGGGCATGTTATGTTTACAGTCAGTTTGTAAATTAAAAATCTGATGTGTTTCTATAGACGTGTATTTTAGGATACGACAATACAGCTAAAAAATCCATTCTATTGTTCAAGCAAAGTTAACTACTCTTCTTTCGGTACCCTTGAATAGTAAAAAATAACAAAGGAGAGTGTTAAGGCGAGAGAGACGAAATCTGTTGAGAATAATATTGGTATGTTATCCTCTCTCTGATAAATCCTGAAAAATTGCTTGTTATTAAACTAGATATAATCCATCGTTTGTATGGAAATTATGGATGCCCCAATTTTGTTTAGTTTTAATTCATTTAATCCAATTTTGTTAAGTATTTCTTTTTGTGAGTTTCTTAGTAATGTTGATTGTTTTCTTTGCATTATCTTTATATGAAATGGCCATGGGCTATCTATGCTACTTTGCCCCTCTCCCCGTGATATCGTCATTGTAGTTGAACCGTATCGTCGTGTTATTAATATGCAGAGTATGGTAGCCTGCATCGTAAGACTTTTACCTGGATATATAAAGGAAATTTTCTGTAGAATCAGAAAAACATTATGCAATACAGCATCAAAGGTTATTAAAGTTGCGTTTACGTGAAGTGAGAATACTATAATCAAATTACCTCAGACAACTCCTAATCATTTGAATAAATTTTTTAAAAATAGTTTAATGTCGTAAAATCAAAATTTCACAAGAAAAGCGAAACGGTTGAAATTTGAAATAGGTTTATTTTCGAATGAGATACCAGAAAATCTTGTTGAATATTAAAGCCCTCAACCCTTATATGATATCGTGGAAATAAACGAATATTACAGTATACCGGTCTGTCATTTACTAATTATGTATTTTGTATTGGTTTCCAGCTAGGACACGAAAATGGTTTTTAGGACACTGATAATGTATGCTCATCGAGCAGTGTCTTCGTGCTCCTTCTCAATATGACCACACCTTTTGATTCCAACGCATAGAATCGCAATGAAATTGTGAGTCCCTCACTCTAAGTGAAAGTTTAGTCATGTCAGAGACTCAAACCCCAGATACTTTGATCTATAGTCCACGATCCTAATCACTGAACCATCTTCGTACCTCGATGACGTATAGATTTAGATGTACACATGCCGGTCAATGACTCTCTTGCTTGTGTTAAATGTAGAATCGCTAGAAGTGCATGCTAACAGTGACACGCTTGCTTGTGTAAAATGTCGACTCGCTAGAAGTGCATGCTAACAGTGACACGCTTGCTTGTGTAAAATGTAGAATCGCTGAAAGTGCGTGCTAGTAGTGACACTCTTGCTTGTGTAAAATGTCGACTCGCTAGAAGTGCATGCTAACAGTGACACGCTTGCTTGTGTAAAATGTAGAATCGCTGAAAGTGCGTGCTAGTAGTGACACTCTTGCTTGTGTAAAATGTCGACTCGCTAGAAGTGCATGCTAACAGTGACACGCTTGCTTGTGTAAAATGTAGAATCGCTGAAAGTGCGTGCTAGTAGTGACACTCTTGCTTGTGTAAAATGTCGACTCGCTAGAAGTGCATGCTAACAGTGACACGCTTGCTTGTGTAAAATGTAGAATCGCTGAAAGTGCGTGCTAGTAGTGACACTCTTGCTTGTGTAAAATGTCGACTCGCTAGAAGTGCATGCTAACAGTGACACGCTTGCTTGTGTAAAATGTAGAATCGCTGAAAGTGCGTGCTAGTAGTGACACTCTTGCTTGTGTAAAATGTCGACTCGCTAGAAGTGCATGCTAACAGTGACACGCTTGCTTGCGTAAAATGTAGAATCGCTGAAAGTGCGTGCTAGTAGTGACACGCTTGCTTGTGTAAAATGTGGACTCGCT